TCTAGAAAATTATTTTTAAGTGTCTAAACTTTCTTTGATAATTTATATCAGCTTAAATTTGCTCTGCATTAAATTGTTCCCTGAGAGAGTAAAGCATAAAAATGAAGCAGAATTAAAGATACGAAAATATTAAATTATAGCAAAATATTTTTAAATACATTCCTAGTGAGTTTTTGTCATTCCATGATAAAATTTGCCTATTCTTTATTACTGTTGTTGACAAAAATTCAGAAGAAAATTTCTTAAATATGAAAACTTGTGCTGTTTGTGGGATGATGTGTTATTACTATTATTTTGTACTCTTTGTATAGTATTGTGTTCCTTATAAGTAATAAAAAATCAGTTACCACTAATGTTGACAGTTCTAGAAAACATAAATTCTGTTGTAAAAATTATACTATTTGTAAGATAGTAGGACAGTTTATTATTATTATTTCGTGATTTTCACATGATTCACATTTTAAAAGTTTTAAGCATTTAAATAACATTATTATTAAAAATCAGTATACAATGTGTAGAGCTTTGTAAATGAGAAATTAGTTTAATATTTTAACAGGAAAATCGGTAAATTTTAACTGTAACTTTTGTAACTAAATTAATATAATAGTATCTCCTTTGAGTAATTTAACTGAAAATGAAGTACTGAAGAAAATTTGAAGTTTAATTTTTTTGAAAAAGGTCATGAAAATCATTATAACAGTATTAATGAAAATAATTTAAGTACAATTATTTGTCTATTTTATGGCAGAGGAGGATTGAATTTAGTTTAGCTGAAAGAGAGTTTCGTGATGTCTCTGACCTAAATAGTTCAATTAAGTGGTTCTAGAGCAGTTTTCTTGTTCCTTCTCAAGCTTTATGAATATCCAAGTGGTTAAGACCGCTGAATACCGATAGTTCAACCTAGGTTCGAACCTAGTTTTGAAAGGAGTGTGTCCAAGAATGTTTTTTGTAGTTTTCTTTATGTGCAACGTGATTATGAGGCAGTTTACCCAATATAGTCTGTTACCAAGGCATGTCATTTTCCTTAAGCAATCGTATGCGTTGCCATATTCAAATAACGTAACATTTCTCGGTCCGCTTATCGGTATAGCATGGACACTGGTAATTTTCTCCGCATTCAATTCGTGATGAGCGGACGAATGGAGGGTGTTTTCCATTCGCAACGAAAAGAATCTCCAGTTTCTTTTGGAAGGTCCTCTCAAACTCCTCATCCTTCAGGCATATAGTTTAGTGTGATTTGCTGTAGTTAACAAATTCATTCCAGTTTTCTTTCCCTGGATTATTTTATAGTATAAGCACTACATGTTTAGATTAAGCATGCTATAAGACTTCCTCACTACTTTGAGACATTTAACCGTTTCTATCAAGGCTATTTTTTAATATTCTTTTCGCTTTCTTATTACGAAATTATCATACAAACTTACACAACTGTTTTTATCTTATGCTTTAATGTGATTCTTTTATTGGTAATTAAATTGCTACATTTTGACAGTAATAACGTTAATAATAGCTCAGTTTTATACGGACAATTTTCGGTACAAGAAATGGAATTACCTGCATTACAAAACGTTGCGGTTAACTCCAAGAGAAATGGTAAAAAAGAAATTTGCTTTTTTATCTTCTCAAGGTTTGTTTAAAGCGTATAAAATATACGCATTTTTTGGAAATGTTAATGTAATGAGAAAATAAATAATATTATCCAAATAATTACAAAACTTTATTAATTAGAGCCAGCAGTTGTTCTTAGCAACAAATCATATCGCCGAAGAAAATCAGATTTGCATAATGATTTGTAGATTACCTTGAAAGAGTACTTAGGGAATGCATAAGCAGACAGTTGAACTAAACTTTCGTCAAAGTTTTCCTTTAAATGCGTTTGCAATCATTTTATAATAAAGTTGCCATTTGAAAAATATGTTCTTAATCAAGAGCGTATTTTTAATATCTAACATAAGAACACTTTATTACCGCTTCTTATAAGCTTATATTCTTTTTTCTTTTTCTTTCTCGCTACATTTAGAATATGATTTAGAATTGTCATAAATTTCCGAAAACTAGTTCTATCAGTTTATGACGTTTTAAAAAATAGTTTATTCTAAAAGAACTTTATTAATGCATTCGTGTAATTTTATTACAATAGAATCATAATCTAATAATTGCACAAAAATTCATTAAATTATAATCATGCATTTAATTGATGAAAATAATATTATAAATTGGTTGTGCGTCAGTACTGAGTCTGCCAGAGTTTTATAGAAAGCCCACATACACAATTTTAACGTTCTACGACTAATCATTTGTGAGTTATGCGAGATACATACATACGTATGTACGTACATACGTACAAATGTAACGAAAAAATTTCTTTCTGAACCAATTTTAAATTCATTTTACAATCCGTTTTGGATAAAAGAATCCTTTATTCTGTCCGTACGTACAGATATCAAGATATAAAAATAAATGTATGATATGAAATGTTTCTCTATTACAGTACTCTCTTACAGTTACAAGGAAGTAAAAAACCTATCAATCAAAAAATAAAACATTTTTAAATACAGTATTTAAGATATTTAGAAAAACCTAGATGGTGTCTGTAAATATCAAGTAATAAAAATAAATATCAACTGTAAATATCAACTTTAGAGATTTTTATAAATACAGGAGGCCTCAAGGAAATGTAACTCACCAAACAAACAACTTAGATAAATTTAGAGGAATTAAATTTAAAAGATTCATAAAAGAACCAACAGTGATTAGTAATGAAAGACTTTTATATTTCTCATTCTGTAAAACAAAATTGACGTTCTTTACGAAATTTTGAAGCTTTTGATTTGGTCAATATAAGTTACTACCCTCTTATGAAATGCCATTATCTTCCAAGAACTAAATTCTATAATAATGATAATAGGATTATTAAAGACTGAACAAGTTATTTTATTAAGCATAGAGAACATATTTTGAAAGCTGTACGTGCGGAAAATCCATTGTACTTTTATAACTAATCGAAGAATAAAATGGAATGAAAATACAATACTATTTTTTTTAATATGAAAATATGCTTCATAACGTCGTTAGTGCACATAAACGTTCATATAACATAGCGTGTTTAGGATCTGAATTTTATTATATATTATCTCATCTTCCTCAGAAATATCCTGATTTGATAGCTGAGGATATGAGAGAGATTTTTCTATGTTTATTGGCTATTAACAAAAACAGTTAATTTTCATGACTACCATTATAAACAACATACTTTTTGTATAAATAATCTCAGTATTTTTACTGTCATTCCCTATTTCTTTAACATTAATGTTAAAGTAGTCCTCTTCTTCACAAATTCTACGCCCGAATGATTTTCTCTCATATAACTTAATACAATTCATTGCTTAGAGGATTAGACCTTATTTCAGATTTTAGGTTTTGAGAAATCTGTAGCATTACTTTTCAATATGATTTATCATACACGGTCTATCTAAGACAATATTAGAAATTTGAATTAAAGGATACAACCTTGAGTCAGACAATGAGAAGTAAACCTTCCATAACTAAGCAGTCTTATTATGTTAATCACTCTGTAGAGTCATTAGGTTATATCGATGCAGGAACATGAAAAATGTGCAATGCCGTCTCCAGAATTCGAATTGCAGACCTTCCGAAGATGCGTCAAGAGTGCTTTTAGTTACACCACGAAGACATGCTGAAAGAAGGGAGAAAATGCCTTACACCAGGGCTTCTCAACCGGTGGTACGCAAGAGAAAACTAGGTGGTACGCAAAGCAGCGAAATATTTTTAACTATTAAATCAAAAACTAAAACCCCAATACCCTGATTGAGTTTTTTTTCTAACACTCGTAAATTTATGCGATCTGAGCTTTCTTCAACAGTGGTGGTGGTAGTAGTACTTTACTAAAGGTTTTCAATTTTTGTTGGATGCTACGCGTTATTCAAAAGATTGAGAGCCGCTGCCTTTTAAACGGAGTTTGGGGATCGTCAGATCCTGGTGGCGACGAATTATTGGCCCCCAATTTTAGTTCGGGAGCCCCTTGTAGAGTCATTTAGAATTTTTTCGCTGTCAGCAAAACTAAAGAAATCTGCAGTGCGTTAGCCGTGATTCGAACTCCGGACCTCTCGAATCCGGTCCAGCGTGCTTCTATTTACCTCACGCAAGCACGGTTAAAGGAGGAAGGAAATACCTTGTAACTCTTTTAATTTGAGTTTCGCTAAAAATGTCTAAAATCTTTGTCAGCATTATATGACTCGAGTTCTAATTTTGCTTGTCCGTGGAATTTTGAAAAACTTTATTACCCAATATTTGTTTTTCACCTTTTATATTGCATAGTTAGCTTTGCGATAATTGCTATTTTTCCCCCAAACGCTGCTTCTTTATTATTATATTCTCTCATTTTGCTTTTATTTTACTGCATAAGCGATCATATCATACTGCAGAATAATTTTGTTTGAGCCTATGTTCTCCACAAAACTTAGAAAATGTCTACAAAATAAATGTTAATATTATTTTAATGTCTCCTAAATTTAGATTTCAAATTGCTTTACACCTTTTTCACATTATGGTGCTGAAATCCGTTTTAATGGAAGAAAAGTAAAAAAAACTCAAAATTTTGCTTTTTACATTTCCAGCATAAATTTAGATGCCTATGAAGAAGCAAGTTTACTTTCTGCAGGTATAATACCACATATTTGCTAATTATTTTTTAGACTGTATAAGAACTGTTTGAATTTTGTTAAAATTCTTAATTGATGATTTTAAATACCAGCATCATCTGCAGGAGAGCTATGGGTGAGAAATACTTTTGAAAGCATTTTAATTAGAGATCGGCTTAACTATTAACCGTCTTGATTTGCATTTAATAATGCAATCACACTTAAATATGATTCTTTTAAGCTGCTTTCATAACAACATTACCCTTGAGAGCATTATGAATATTTATTATTATTTTTAGGGGTAGAAGGAAAGATAATAAAAGCTGGAAAAATACTTACTGGTTGCAACAATACTAGACAGATCTTCCACATCGCAAGTAGAAGGAATGCAAACACCGAAGCGGAAAGCTGCAATCTTCAGATATTGCCCATATTTTAAAAGCATATTAAGAAACTGTAAATAAATTTCTATAATTAGCTATTGTATTTAATTTTAAATATGCATTATTTCTAATTCCTATATCAATGCATTGATTAGCATTTTTTTAATTGTTAATATAGTTATTTACGTACATTTATGAAAAGTTAAACATAACTAAAGAATCAGCATTTAAAATTAAGTTGCTATGTGCAGAAGTTACTTTAAAGGAGATTAAAAAAATAAAGTTAAATTACTTGCTAAAAACCTCTATATAGTAAGACGTAGCATATACTTACAAAAATAGGCATATTTTTATGGCTGTGAAAGAATGCAAGAAAATGAAATTCATAAAGGGAGCAATATTTCTTGAATGATTTTTATGAAAAGAAATTGAATGCATAGTCACAAAGGTAGGTGTAGAATAAAAACTTCTTACTGTGAATTTCATTTTATAACTCATTTTCATCTTTTGTATGAAATTTTAATATCTACCTGGATATTTGGATAATATACTGCACTGGAAAGAAGAGTCGTATCTTTTGCTATAATTAAAATCAAGAACAGAATACTTAGTTAATAAAATGATAATTTAGATAAAGGAAGGAATGAAATGAGGAATTCAAATACCTGAAGAGTTTGTATACTTTTTTTCCATTTTGCAGAAAAGAATGCTGATAATGTTGAAATAGTAATAACAATAATCAAGTTATTGTGACTGCATTCATTAAACTGTCGTCTGATACAGAAATTAGAAAATTTCACTTTCTGTTTGGTTAACGACAAATGGTATAACATTTCGTAGGATTTTTCTTCTTGCATTACGTGTGTACTCCTAGAGAAAAGACTTCCTTTATCCTTCTAAAATATAACTCTCTATGCTGTATCGAATTTTGTCCGAAATATATTAGTATTTGATATGACGTATTCATTTGTAATAATGAAACAAAACTAGAAGAATATTTATCATTTTCAAACAATTTTGTAAAATCTTGCTAATTTTATAAAACATGAACTGAACTAATACAAATTAAATATTTTTCATGGATTTAATCATGAAAATGCAAATAATTAAGTAATCAGAGAATAAGTAATAAAAGCTTAAATTTTATCGAGAAAATATTTGGCATAAATAGCAAAGCTGGTATTATCATTGTATATCTATAAAATCTTCCCTATGATCTGTCTACATCCATTACTCAAATTCTATGTATTAATGCCATAAGAGTTGAATTTTGTTCAACAGAAATACATATTCTAATATGAAAATTTTACTCTAGAATTATCGAGAAAATATTTAGCATAAATAGCAAAGCTAGTATTATATTATCATTGTATACCTATACAATCTTCAGTATGATCTGTCTACATCCATTACTCAAATTTTATACATTAGTGTTACAAAAGTTGAGAATTTTGATTTTGATTGCGTATTCTAATATGACAATTTTGCTCTAGAATTTAATTTTCTAGAAGTTCTAAATTTCAAACAACATGCAATTGAAATGACTTTATATTAACTCCAGTTAACTTTAAGAAATTATGCTGATTTATGAAATGCAATGTATTATCAAAATTAAGCCTCATTATCAAGTAACTCTTCTTTTTCTGTAAAACTCTCATACTATACACATACATGAACTTCCTTTTGTCTTGCGAGATATGCATCTAAATTTTTGACTGGTTGTTATTTTCCTCTAAGACAGCAAATAACAGTTCATTGTACTTGTGAACGTCCATTTTAAACAATGTAAACTAAAAAAAAAAAAAAAAAAAAAAAAAAAAAAAAAAAAAAAAAAAAAAAAAATGAAGGCAATCACAAGGGCGAAATGTTTTCAAATGCAAGAGTACAGGAAAAATGCTTATGCAAACGGTTAAATCCCAAACAAGATAAAATAAATTATGTTAGAGATATAAATCTTATGTTATAGACGAAACAGATAACAACATAGATAAATTATATACTATGTTGTTATCTTCTTCTCTATAAAAAATCTAATTCTATTTTAATCTTGTAAAGCGAATACCAGACAATCGTTAGAATTTTATTATGTTACTTTATTAAATCAATCTCTCATAAAATGTAGTTTCTATGCCTTATTTCTCAGTTTAAAATACACTACATACCAGCGATTAATATAAATCTTTAAAACATAATATGAAGTCATAATGCTGTACAGTTCCTCACTTTGTAATCCTAAGTTACTGTTGGAAGTGAAGAATCTTAAGAACTGATAACAGAATAATCTCTTGAGATCGTGTGACAGGAAATAACAAGATAGAAGAGTAAACTAGCCCTTTATTATTCCAACTAAAGTTTAACGAAACTCCGTCTTCGAGTGTACAATAAAGCTGACCCTTTGGTTTTGAACTTAAGAGGCTAAGAATAATACTAAACTAATCTAAACTAAAGAGGTATAGCCGAAGGTAACAAAATTTCTAACAGAGTTGGTACCCCTTAACGTTAATAGACTGTGAAGCTATCAAGGGCCTAAAGTACGGCCGAGCGTGATAATAGCTTACGAGAGAGTAGCCTAAAAAGGCGAACGCGTGCAACCATAATACCTGGTATCTGTCTCCCTAAGACCGAAGAACTTCACGGTTAAATACCGCTCTTCCTCATTATTCAGGCGTGATTCTAAAACTACGTTCTGGCCGGAAGTAGTAAGTTGAAGTTAAGAATCGACAGAAAAGGAACTTTAACTCAAAATTTAACTGTTAATAAAATTAACATAATCCTACAATGCATAAATGTAAAGACAGCAAAGTTTACTGAAAACGCCAAGTCTGTATAGCAAAGTGCATAACTTTAACAACTGCATAACTGTTGTGTTCTAATTATGTTTCATTAGAATTTCACATTAGTAGCAATTAGTTATCGTAACTTAGTTTTAAGCACTCCTTCAATTGACACAATCTTTATTTTTGCAGATATACGCTATGAATAATTTAGAATTCTGAAATAAATTAAATTAAATTAAATGATTTATTCTTAAGGTATCGTTTAAACACATATTCGCTGCGTGATCGGTGTAGTGGTTAGTGCCCTAACTGCTGTACTCGTACCATTCGTTGCTCTCAGATTTGAACCCCGGAGAAAGCAAGGATGTTTGTAAAGATATAGGGCTTATAAAATATTATATTAACCGTCAAGAATTTCAAGTTATCCTGGTTCAAGAAACACTAATTCAAATCACACATAACATCAAGGTAAATGAACATTACGAATCAGGTTTTAAAACTTCCAACTTTATTCACGTCTAACACGCATTCAACTGGCGCTGCCAGATCCAAGAACATGAAGTATACATCATGAATATTTACGCCCTCTTTGGCGATTAAAATATATTTCCACATAAAATTTCTTACAGGGCTTGTACAGCATGGAAGGCACTCAAAATGCATTGTAAGCCAAAGTCCTCACAAGTGGTTTTGTGGCAGAATAAGAGAGACCCTCGGAATCATTGCCCGAGATTCTTCTTCCAAGTTAGCATGGAGCTAGGCAAAGTCGTACTCTCGCCTCTATGGCGCTCAAAGCTTACGCTAAGAACTTGTGCTAATTGGTCTGAAAAGTGAGATACGTCACAGAAACAAAACGCAAAGGCCTTTTCGTTAATTTGCTTTACGGACCAAATGTGTCAGACACTTCAATTTCTTCCTTTTTCTATAAAATTTGCAATTAAGGTCATCAAAATGAGTAATGATTGCAAATCAAAATAACATATTTGAATCGCTGTATAATCAAAGGTACCTATTTGGATAATTTTGTTTCCCTATTCTCACTTCATATTTTTGACTATAGTGATATTTTTATGAATATGAGACTTTATACAGAAACGTTAAATAATTACATACACCGCTGTACATTATATGCAAGCATTAAAAAAACAAAATGGTTATTCTTGATGTAATGAAGTTTGTTTACGTTAAGAGTATCAAACCATAGTTATGGTACTTTAATTCTTTCCAGCTTACCGTTTTTGACTTAGCTATTTTTGTTCGAGATCGATTCATAGCAGGGGCGTTCTCGTACTCATCGATGGCATCGGTGATCCCTTTGGGAAGCTTACATTCTACTGTGCAGTATTTACCATGGAAGAACTCTTCTTCAATAACTAAAGTGGATTTATTTCTTCTGCCAACCGTGACATCAACACACTCATCGAAATCACCAAGCGACATACTCGTACCTTGAAAGACACCACTTGGCGGCTTGCCTGTTGCATCAACCACTGAAAAGAAGATAAAGAAATAAGTTTTTTTAGCATAAAATAAAACCGAATGCATTAATATGTAGAGCTTTGATGTTTATTAACTCTTATTATCTTTAATGTCATTTCTGCTTTCGTCGACTCCATTTAGGATGTAAATTAGTTAAGGTATATAGCAACAAATTTCCTAAAGTTAAAGGAGAAATTTCTGCAGCAACAGCTGGCAGTCTCCGAATTATTTTTGCCTAGTTCTTAGAGTCACTTGAATCTGCTTTGGCAAAACTTACAATAAGCCGAACTTAAATAAGACATTGCTTTGTAAATTGCATTCTAAGTTCTTTTGCCTCCCGGGTTCAAATCCAGGTGAATAGGTAGGCTATTTTCGTGGTTGTTTCTACAGTAATGTGAATAAAAGCAAGTTTGCATTAGAAAGCCTTCACGAAACCCTTCTTCCCTTAGCAAATAGACCTCGTCTGCTTTGCCATTTTCGAATAAGTATTCAAAGAGTACGCCACTAATGCAAGTTGGATCACTTATTTTTTCACAAAACCAAGCGTTTTGTGTGCAAGTTGGATCACTTATTTTTTCACAAAACCAAGCGTTTTGTGGTAGTGTTTGGCTAACCGCATTTGTTATAAGGTACTGATATAAAGTTTTAATTAAATAACAGTATTAAATTTTTTAAAATTTCTTTTGAACAGTGCACAAATTCTCAAACTCATATTTGCATGGCAAGCATTATTTTTAAATAATCTTGTCAGAAGTCTTAATTTCTTAGAATTTTATTAAATATTGGTACCGAAATATTCTAGGTGATACATAAAATTTAAATTAATTATTATTTGTCATAATTATGCTCATTGATTTGCTTTCCATGTTTATAAATAAGAACTCATCTATAAACGGTAGTAAGTCTATAAAATAGTAGTTCTAACAGTAGTATGTAAGTTGTCATTTTTGCATAATCTTATGAGCACGTGTTTCATGCACGTGAGAACAGTTATAACTGGTAAGACTTGCGTCTTCACGTGATCATATAAATCTACTTTCGGCTTACATGATTACGTTAACTAAAAGTATGTATAACAAATATACGGTCAATTTTATTTTGAATGGCTTTTACCTTGACATTCTGTATTAATTATGTATTAATATTTTGCTTTAATAATTTTCAGTAGGCTGTAGCTTCAGTATTTTTTAGAATGTCATTAGTAGGACTTCTCCTATTCTTAATATCTTCTTTTTCAAATGATTTTTTTTACAAGTGATCTTTCTAGTCAATAAAATGCCAAATTGTATTTGTCGATATTCGAGATCTCATTTCAATGTTACCCATTCATGAAGATCTTATTATAGTTAGGTAAAAAGAAATAAAAATACATTCGTTATATTACGATATATTATCTAAGCTTGAAGTCAAGTATTCCTATTAAGGAAGGAATAAGATCTTTAATTTATTATCTACGCATTCGGAGAGGTATTCTCAGGATACTGCATTATCTGGGACATAATGTATGTAATTTATTTTTCAAGATGCAAGAGTAATTGCATAACAAATTGAGAAACATAAAAGCAGTAAATGAACTTTATAAAATAATTCCTCTCTTTTGCATTTAATAATTTTACTAATATAATTCGTTATATATCAATCTGATAGTTTTTAAAACATTTTTACCAGTATTGCAATTAATAAAATAGATTACTTCTGCTATTTAATGTTTACTTCGTTACAGAGTATATCATATTGATGTATCATATACCTCGGTAGCTGTTGGAGTGCCGATTAAAACTTATCTTTTATTTTATGATTATGGACTATGTTCACTTTAATTATGTGTTTATACACGCTAAATCTTGTAATGATAACGCATGAAAGAAGAACGTAAAATTTTGTAATTTAGTATTGTCCGTATATGAATAGATTTTAGCTGAATGATTTTGCTATAATGAGATAAAATTTAATTTATGAATCAGAATGTGACGCTTTTAATTTAATTCCAGATAGTATGCTTATTAATAGAAGTTATCGCTAAGACTTTTTTTTTAAATTTTTATCAAATGTTTCAACTTATTAGCTGAGAGTAATCCTACAAGGCTTTCATAACGACATTGCTGTGCTATAAAACTATAGTATTACTAATAGTTTTCCCTTTATAGCGAAACTTTTTCCTTATTGCATTCTTTGCTTTCTTGAAGCCTATGTGGCTTTAATTAAAAAACTGAGTAGAATAAGGTTTTAAAAGTTATATCATTTGAATATTTAAATTAATGTCTTTTTTTGTTAAAATAATCATGTCGTAATATGTTTCCATTTTCAACACGATTTGCTGATGTAAAAAAAAAACAATTCTGTTTGCTACGGCTACTGAATTATTTTTGTGTTTTTTTCAACACATCTTGTTAATCTAGTGAAAGGTTTTTATTTGTAGTTTTTCTACATAGCTTTTAAGTGTCTGTTACTAAATATGGAAAATAAATATTACATTACTATTTCAAAAATTAATTTCAATTTCGTAATTAATTATTATGCAAGTTATATCATAATTATGCTCTGAATCATAATTATGCACCTAACTTAATACTGCAGCTTCAAGGTTAATTGAAGCCCTCAATGTCCTATAATCAGGTTACAAAATAATTCAAGTTTGTTTGTGTTGACTTATGTTATGACGGATATGATAACACTTATGTTTGCATGCATTTGCAAAACAAGTTGTGGTCAAACATGTAGACCTCCATTAATGATAGCTTTACTATGGAAATCATATAATCTTATATTCAACGATTTTATTTCAGTAAACTTTCTTTCATTAGATGATGACTCTTTACTTTTTCCAGTAGACGTTGTTTTAGGTTTTATCAGTGGCTAACTGATTTCTGTGTTTGTTTGTTTGCTTAGTTTTCGCAAAACACATAATTGTGTACCTAGGGGTAAACGTGACTCTGTAGAAGATTTTCTGAAAGTATATCGCACTCATGTTATGCTTAGATAAATGCTAAGAAGCTCAAAAGCCTATCCAAGATCAAATTATTTAAGTTAGGCAGTGGAAAAGGGCTATCTGTCTAAGGAGCGAGATGCCTTTGTTGAGGATTTCTTTAAGGCAAATTGGTTCATATGAAAATTCATTCACGAAGATTGGAACCCGAACTGAATTAACAGAGCTCAGCGATTCTACTGGATGGTTAGCCTATTATGGTTTAATAGTTCATATTATTCAATTGGCCTTAATGAACGTGGCTGAATGGATAAGACATTGATAATGTTAATTTTCCATGCAAAAAGGGACTTGTGAAATATTTTGGTATATCGCAAAATTTTAAATTAAACATGGATTTCCTAATATTAATCATTGCATCTGTGAAGACATTGAATCTCAGGGAAATGGAGTGTCCCTTCAAGACAAAGTATCATATTAAATTCAGCACTTATACATATTAAATTTCCTGTTTTGCTGTATTTTCTTTTAGAATTTTTTTTCCTAAACAAAGATCTTAAAATTTGTAAAATTTTAAGCTTTTCTGCTTTGGGGCAAATATTGGCTAACAAATTTAAAAATAGGGATATAATAATACCATATTTACCTACTTCTTTAAAAATGTTATATTTGTATATTTGTATAATTTCACATATAGTAGCTGTGCTTTACGGGCATAAGTTGTAAAGGCTTAATATTAAGACATTATGACATGTACGAACATATGAAGGATGGACTTAATGCACTTTTCTTTTATACTTTTAATAATTAGTTTCTTTAATTCCAGTTTATTATTCTTTACTGGTATATATGTTACCGTGAAAGACCGAAATTGGAGAATGTCGACTTTCACCGGAGAATGTCAACATTCACCAAATACGTCGGTGAAAAATCGAATATTGCATTACATTCTTGTACATTCAGACCCTCACCGGTGTATGTCGACAATCACAGATATGCTTGGGTGTAGGTCGAAAAGAGATGAGTATATGTACACGCTGTCATTGCAAAAGAAACTGTTGTACTAATAAATACAGTTGTAAAAGCAAGGGCCTCTTATGCAATTCAAAGTGTCATAACATTTTGAGTTGTTGCAATAATAAATAAGATTTGAATCACATAATTTAGTAAGTTTTTAACTTCTATTATTTTCCTTTCTCATTTTGAATGTACTGTGTGTTTTAAGTTCTTATATTCTTATTTTAAGTCTCAAGTGCGTTTTTTCGCGACTGAATTACGGAGAAGAATATATAATATTCTTATATGTTCAACATTCACTATTATAAAATGGTGAATGTCGACATTGACCGGTGTAAGTCAGAAATGAGAGTATTTGGAAAATATTTCGCACATACACCAAGCGACTATGTGAATGTTGACATATCTGTGGCCACATAATGTCAATTGGAAATAAAAATGGAATTAAAATCGCCTCGACTGCCAAGTTTTATTTACGAAGTCAACATATTAGCTTACGACGCAATCAGAATACTTCCTCTTCAATATAGGATAGCTACGCATCAACAGTGCTCCGTCTTTTCCTTGCTTTTATTATGTCATATATATATATACTTTCTCAAAATTTATGCATTTAAATTACACTGGTGTGCAAAAATTAAGGACGAGACGGTTTTTTCAATATAACTTAGTACAAAAGCTTTCCAAATCAACACATTTAATACCGTAAGATCCCCAATACGTATGGACATGAGTAATGTAAGCAACACTTACTTAAAGAGAAATCAGAGGGATAAAAAGAAGCTTTATTGAAAAAGTAGCATGGAGTGCAATGCGACTGAAGGCCGAAACATCCCTGTGATGGGTGTCCAGCAAGAAACATCCGGTTTTTAATAGGGGATATGATCTCCCCTGACTGCTAGGCACTTTCACAGCGTCTGCCCATGCTGAGAATGAGGGTGTCAATGAGTTGTTGAGGCATTGCAGCCCATTCGTCTTGCAGCGCCAATCGAAGCTCCGGAATCGTTACTGGTGGTAAGGTACGAGCTGCCAAGCGTCTGCCTAGAAAATTCCATACATGCT